GATTAGCTGTAAACATTGTCTCTTTGCTTAAAAAAATTGTCAAAGGAATATCTGACAACATACCAAACCGTATACAGTGTATACAGTAGTCACTGGTTTCGCCTGGTGCGTATCACGTGATTAATCATGGCGGAAAATGATGGCGAGGAAGTACTTGCTCTGGTAAGAGATATTTTCATTTTATTTTCTCGTATTATAAAGTTTAAATTAGAACTAGTTTCTCTTTTGATACAAAACGATGAATTATTATGCATATTTTGTAATGCGCATTATTAGAGAGCAAGCACAGAACGATTAAATCACCTAAATATAAATTATTTGAGAATATCATAATTCAAAATTGTCAAAAGCTCATATAATCTAAATTTAATTTTAGTTTTCATAATCTCATTATCCTTTCATTGCTCTGATATGTTTTCATTTTCTGCTATATATTTTACTGTGCAGTTATTTTTGCAATATATTAAAAAGTAAACTGAACAAAGTACAAAAGGAAGGAATATCCACAAATATATTACTAAGATTATTGGGTATGTTTTTATCACGCCTCCAACAAGACTTAACATAGCTGTCATGTGGACAACATGGGACCATTTTGTCCTTCAAAACAGTCCTTGCATGCTAACCCTTGATAATAGTAGAAATTTATATTTACCCTTTATTTTTTCAGGAAATTATTGATTCCCCTCTTTAAGTTATTGTGAAATACTGGTGCACACCACTGCTGACAACATCCCATTCCATAATCAATTGCCCTGTTAGATAAATAAAAAACTGTCATTACTGTAAGTGTAACCTACCTATGTTTTCCAAATCTTTCTCTTGTGTCCTCTCATCCTATTGCCTTTAGAATACAGCAAAAAGAAATCGGAGGGTTTTATCCTATTGATCCCACAGATGATCTTGTAAGCTTCATTAAAACCACCCCTTACCCTTCTTGTCTCAAGAGGGAATAACTTAAAATATCTTAACTTTTCCCTATCTGACAAACCCGGGAATCATCCATGTGGCAGTTTTAATTGTGAAAGTTATTTAAAAGGGCAACAATAATGTGTAGAAAATGTTTAGAAAAACAGAGTAAGGTATGAGTGATTCAAGTTACTTGTGTGACTTCAGAATCTAGACTTGTAGGTTTCTCTCCTTTTCCTTATCAGATGTTTTTTTTATCTCTGGGTTTAAATTCATTTACACACACACACACACACATGAAAAAATAGAGAAGTGTTGTATAATTTCTTTGTAAAGTTAATAATGTGAATTGTTTCATATTTATATTATTACTTTAAGCTTTTGGAGACAGTGTTTATTGATGAATAAGTATCTTATGTGATTGCCTGAGTCTTCCACATTGCTTTAGTTTTCTTGTGTATACCAAATGAAAATGCTTTTTTTAGTCTTTCCTTTAACAAATTTTCATTTAATATATTTCATCTTTTTTGTTTTATTTCTCAGCAACAAGAATTTGAATGGTTGCTGCATGAAGAGGTCAGTGTAATTTTGGAACAGTTACAAGGAATTTTAATGGTAAGATGAAGTATGCAAAAGAGTAAAATTATAGTAATCTTTAAAAATATTAAAAGTTGGTTTACAGTCTGAAAGATCATATTTTATTACACATTTGTAAAAGTTCATGAAATTGCAAAATTCTTCATATTTCTGTTTAAATTTACAGTAAGAAATGTTAAATATGTAATTTAAATGTGAATAATTTATCTAATATATCCATTCAATTTGAAGGGAACATTACTGTGAGCAAAAATTTTACAACATTCTGTTTGACTAAATGATTCATTAGATTTTATGGGCTGTATGAAAACTTGTATAACCTATATTTGATGATGTTTTTATCTGACATCATATAGATGTAGGCATTTTGAGGAGTAAGATGTTTCATGTTTGTTTAACAGGGTCCATATTTCAAATAGAAATTTATATTTTTATGAAAGAAATGTCCTTAGGAAATATGATTAAAATGTTTTATACTTTGCCAATTATCACAACACCTGTCACTTTAACACTATTTTTCTCAGAAAGCATTCAAGGCAGGTGACAGCAAAATAACTACAGTATTATTATCTTTAGTTCTATATAATGGAATTTCTAATTACAGCTTTACTTTGCCATAATATTGATGACAAAAATTGAAAAGCAGTTTATTTATTACAATAAAAACTTACTTTTACAGTACATCTTGAAAAAGATTTGTGTATCAACCAGAAGTCCCTAACTTTATCCCACTTACTTGGAATGCTCATGGCTTCAGAACTTTGTTAGAAACATAAGAAATGCTGAATTAATTAACTCTTTCAGCATGGGCTCAGTCCGTGGGACCAACCTCTTAACCATTTTGTGCTTGTTATAGTTTTCATGCTATAACTTTCAAATTAGTAAGCAAATGTTTATGAAATTTGGCAGATTATCAGTAAACATTACAGTTCTTTCATATGCAAAATATAATTTTTTTATATTAAGTTTTAAGGTTTGTAAAGCAATGTTTTATCATGTCTTTTTTTTTCTTTTTGGCTGTTGCCTATCTAACATGCAAAGTAATATCATTTTAAGATTAGAAATACTTTTATCTACAGAAAATTTTGAAATTTCACATGAAAAGTTTTTATAAAGTCCAGATAGTTATCAAACGTTTCTTAAGAAAAAAACTTTATATTTTATCTGTTATTTTCAGTAATTAACCTCTGTACAGGTTT